TTGAGGGGGTTTTCACGGGGTGGGGGTGGGGGGTAGGGGCTGGGTGGTTGGTGCAGGAAAATAAAATAAAAACAGAAAATTAAAAATACAAAAAAAAAAACTAAAATTTTTTTTAAGGTTGTTTTGTGGTGGTGGGGGGGGGGGGAGGGGGTAGGGTGTGGTGGTGCAGAAACACAAAAAAAACATAAAATTGATAATATAAAAAAAAGTAAAATAATTTTTCAGGGGTTGGGGTGGGGTAGGGGGTAGGGTGGGTGGTGCAGAAAAACAAAAGAACAGAAAATTAAAAATACAAAAAAAAAAAGTAAAATTGGGACAACTAAGTAAATTTCTAGATAAGTTGGGTTGTGATTCCTTTGTTTTGGGTGAGTTTCATGGGTTGTATTTGGGCTGTTTAATGGGTCAAAATGGGTTATAGAAAATAATGGGTTAACTCGGGCTCAGCCCAAATTGACCCATGAGCTAAAATGTTTGTAGCCCAACCCATTAATCTCTGGGCGGGTTGGGCTCAAATTGCCACCCCTAATTATATTATGTAATGGATGTCTATAACTCCTAAAAAAAGTTACACCCACTACTCTTCTCCATTAACCTCCCGTTACTTCTTACCATTATGCTTGTAACTCCCACACTCCCATAACCTCCTCCATGATCTTCCCCCATGATCTCACTAGTTAATACTATGTTCATGACATCCCTTTGTATTACCTACTATCATCCTTTAAATAGAGAGTTTGGGCATCACATTGTATGCACTTGAATACATGGAAGAAATGAAAGAATCTCTCCTCTCTCGATATATCTCTTGTTTTTCCTAGTTTATATTGTTACTTTGAGCTAAATTTCTTAACAACGTAAAATTGTGGTGGAATAGTATTAGTAACATTTTAAAGCTTTACACATATTTTGTTCTAACCTGTATACTTTGGTTACCTCTTTTCAAGATTCTTGACTAGTGGTCTCATGCTTATTCAAATATGTAAAGGTCAAGTCTGAAAATCAAGAAAAGAGAACTGAAATCAACTGTCTTTGAGCTTCGAGTTTGTCCATGATTTCCACAAGTAGAGATGGCAATGGTACAGGGCGGTTGCGATGCGGGTTGAACCTTAACCCGCAACTATTTCAACCCAGTCCGCTCTGATACGACAATTTTCATTTTTTATCTATCTATTAGTGAAGGTATATTATGAAGGAAGGAATTCACCAAAATGGCCAGTAGGCCGATACTAATTACATTTGCTAGTTAAAAAGTGTATATATATA